AGCGGTGTTAATAACTAACTTCAATCAATCCACGATATTACGCGATCATCTTACATTGTCTTCGATGGGTAACTGCCTCACACCTGAAGCGGATTAGTTCCACTGGTCATAGCTTCTAACTAGAACTCCGTGAATCACTTCTCGAAGTTATTCACAAAAGAGCACATGATAATTAACAGTATAGGGTTTTTGATCGTTTCATGATCTCAATCAAAACTTAACAATCTCCACAACCCCGTACTGTTAAGTAACCCATTATCCCGAAAATAATCAACTTGCAGCTACAGGCAACTTCGAGGCGTACACTCAAGAAGCCTATATATCAAAATATCTGATCAAATCCAATTCTAAATACCAAAATCGAAAAATTACTAGCCCTTCTATTCACAGGCTAAAGATCTTGTACTTACAAAAAGCCAAACACAGAGTAGTCGAACCATCATAAGCTTTTGTTTTGCACATGCCTTGATTTTTTTTAACGCATGAAGTAGGTCAAGGTTAAACGGGCTAATTATAGATTTAGAGAAAACAGAATATCATCACCCTGTTAGTATAAGTGGAGTTTCTATAAGAATGTATATATATGTAAGATAGCACAACATACTCCTAAAGTATTTTGTTCACTTAACCTTAATAATCATTAATAACGTGATTTTCATTGCTTACTATTTTTTTTCATCTATAAAACCGTTAGAAAGAAACAAATCATTGAATTTGTATAGATACCAATGGTTAAAATCATTAACAATATAATATTTACTTGTCTCACTGAAACTACTCTTTAAGACTAAACTGGTTGGTATCTAAGCAAACCAAAGATAATTCACTTGGTATTGTTTTACTTGAATCTTCCCATTGATGTTTTAGGACTGAAATTGATTAGTCTCTGATCGGTACTGAGTTCGAGTCCCAGAGTGAACATCAACTCTGAGATGCAGGTACATTCAGCTGACGAGTCCCAAACAGGACGAAACGCGCGTCCTGGATTCCACTGCTAGCCACTATCCACCTTTGCTTATAAAATAAAGATAGTTCAGTGAAGGAAAAAAAACTTTCCCAATTACGTTATATACTAAAGCTGTACAATCATATATATGGTCATCAACAAAGTTATCTAAAGTTTTTATTATTGAATGTAAGTTACAATGTATACCTAAAGGTAATTAGAAGTATTATGATGAAAATGATTGATACGACGTGAAGAATAAACAAATAAATACCAACATCAACTTTTAAAATCAGGAGTACTAAGACCATAGTAAAATAAGGAATTGGATATATCTCTTTTGAAAACACAGAAAAGGCTTGAATGGATTAGTTATTGAAGCCTCAGTCATTAAAACTTTTCAACATTAACTCACTTTAGCCCGGATATTTTTACGTAATAGATTATCTTGGATGATAGTTCTGGTGGAAGCATGTGGCCAAAATTAACAAGAAGTTCGAGAATAGACCCATTGACTAACCTGTACATCCTGTTTTAATAACCATGAAGGGTTGTACTTGCATACGCGTTTATAAGGTACATGCTTTGTACTCTACAAGAGCAAACAAAATTATAGATGCGGTTTAACGTGGACCAGGACAACAATTTATTCGTAGGACATTCTTGAGTTAGCTGCATACATGAGAAGACAGTTAAGTGTTACAGTGAATTTTCTCGTAGATCTTCGTGGATAGCTTTTCGGGATCTTTGCTGACATATACCCCATGGATTTGATGCTTGTAAACAAAATATTCTTAGGTACCGATTGGATGCTTTCCTTTTGATTTCAGGTTGTCATCTATTTACCCTTGAATAAATCATTCGGTATACTTTATTTGTTTAACTCATCAATGTATCTACTGACGTCATCGTCAAACCTGAATTGAATGTCGAAAGCGCACCGTAAGATTGTTTAAAATACCGATTTTGCTAACTGTAATGTAATTAAGTAAGAAGTGCTTTACACATATAAGAGGAAGAAAGAAACATGTAACAGGACTGTCCTCTTTTCAGATACACTTGAGTGTATTGAATCCAAAAACTCAAAAGGACGTGTATATTTGTCTCGATTCTGAATAAATTTTGTAAAGTTTTAATTCAGTGCAACTCAGTTATCTATTGAAGGTCTCTATACTATACTTTGAAGGCTAATATTGATACCCGAGTCTCCAAATAGAAACAGATGAAGGAGAATTCAGAATTACGACGTGGATTGGAAGCTAATGTTGTAATTACTAGTCCATTGCCACACGTGTAACTTTAAGAAACAATCTTTGTTACTGTATTAAAAAACTGGTCATTGGAAGCATTGATCGCTGGAATCCAAACTCTCCAGAAAACTTTGTTTTTGATTATAGGAGAATTTTAATGGTAGTTTTAACATACTGTTTTGATACAGTTTGATATAAACTTTTATTATCAGAATCGGTTTTGTGGAGATTTTTAGAAATTTCACTTGTTGAAATCATGAGTCAATTGAAGCTAGACCACTATGGAAAACCTGGAAGCACTGAACGGCCGCTTCGTCCTAGTATGGGACTCCTCAGCAATTTTTATGTCGATGTGAATGAATAACACGTGAATCATTTCCTAACTATAAGTTAACCGGATAACTTGTTTAACTTCCGATTTCGAATTAGAAACTAGGCATTTTAGAACCAGCTCCATCAAAGTAGACGTTAAGAAAGCAATTTTTAAATTTTATACTTAACCAGTAACCTTTTGAGTCATGATAGGAGTATGTGGTGGTTAGAATGCTTCATATTTCAACAACTTATGGTATAGCTCAATTGACATCAAGTTTTTAAAAATATTTATCCCTATTATTGCTCTAGTGGCCAATACAAACAACTAAACTACCCTTCTATGATTTCTAGTAAGGTACCTTGATTTCAACCAAATTTATGATGGAAACAAATACTTTCTGGTAGCTGTAAATGGTAGTCACCATATAGCACGAATTCAGTGAACCTTCAAACGTCAGTCACTCGGTTTCAACACAGATGCTCAGCAATAGTTTGTTTACAGAACCCTCGTTAATTTAAATTTAAAAATAGTTCATAAATAACAGTCAATTAACCATACTCAGTTTTATATTAACAAATGTCTTTATTTATTGAGATTTAGAAAGTGATGTGAACCATTCTATCTACGTAATCATATGGATTATGAGTCTGAATCATAAGCAAATTTATGGTCATTTATCTGTCCTTTTGGTGTTTTGAGCTTTGAAAACGTGGTAGTAGTAGTTTTATTGTCGACTACTTTCAAACATGGTGCTAAACAGAATGGTCATTTACTGTTAAAAGCTAAATCTGAACGACTTTTTATAATCCACGTTACATGCATAAAATTATCGGAATAAATACACTTCGAATACACAGATATATAAAACATGCAATGTAAAAATGTTATCAAATTAAACATGTTGATTTTAATGAAAAACACGTCATTACAAAACCAATTAATATCTTATTTTCCATCTGTGAATTACTCTAATTAAGTATAATTATTGATTAATGTATTTGTATGAGAGAAAGAACAAGGAAGTTATTGACATGTCTTGTTTTCTAATGTGCTCTCACTAGACAAAAGACACTTGAACAATAGTTTACAACAGGAATAAATCAATATATTAATAAAAGCCTATGTTATTTATACAATTCTATAAATAGTGTTATTATTACATCTTAATTATTAATCTGTTGTTCAGCATTACACAGAAACTTGAGAATGTGTGAACTTGAATTCATACCTGTGATTCCAATGAACTAGATGATGAGTAGCGATTTAGAAGCAACATGATTGATACGTGTTCTAGGATTAATACTTATAAGCATTCCCAGAGGACTATAGAACAGCGTTAAACAATTGTGGTTATCAGACTGAGATAAGCCATGTTGAATGGTGCAGACTTCCTATTTGGTTCGACCTCACTAATCCTTTATCGATAGCACTACTAATGTTTCGATCTGCTTTACGATTGGAATTAATTCCTCTCACCTTGGGCTTTAATAATTCCTTCAAATGCAATGGCAGTGTGGGTTATAGCAAGCTGGACCGATACACACTTGTTACCGCTCTTACGCTACGGCTCATTCTGTTCTCTGGTAAGACCGTTTCTAATGACATCACGAGCTGTTTTCGAGAAACGTATCAAGCTAGCCAATGGCTTTTACGAACCAAGAACCATCTTATTTGTGTATTTTATTTTAATCAGCTGAGGATCAAATTATCCCAGTGCTGGTTAACTCAACGAGGAAAAGTGTAGCACAATAAAGGCTTCTCAAACTGGTCCTTAAATCTAAGGCTTTCAGAACAAATACTGAGGGAAGATATTGTAATCGGGTTTGTGACTGGCATGGAGAAAAGTTTATTTGTATAGTACTAGGCTATTATCCGTATTTACTGAACTGATCATAATGTAACGAGAAAGTAGTTAACGCAGGTTTGAGCCCCGCTCAGCCTTCAGTTTTGACAATCGGTTAGCGTAACGAGCCATCACACAAGAGCCGTGCCCTAAAGATCTGAATTCAACGACTTACATTACAAAAGTTTAATTTAATTAGACCCTACTCCAAAAATTAACTTTCTCTGATATTTTGGTTTGTACTGTCGTATTCTAGATAAGCAGGTATAGAACACCAAATAAATATTTATACGGTGATAAAAGGTGAAACCTTAGAAGTCACGCTTACCAAACATTATGTATATTTTGAACACCCACATTTCGAGTTCAGAGATCTGTACCAAGTACAAATTTGTGTATTTAGCTTTGAGGATTAGTGATACTATCTGAATGCTCAAACAGAAGTGGGTGAGACGGTTTCACATATGAAGCAACTGTTCTTCATAAATTTTAAGGGAGCTACTTAGCATCCTAAATCAACAGTTATTTCGAAATTGATCGCTTTACTTAATATAACTGAAATAATATAAACTACTGAAACGTATATTTTCTTAATGCAAAAAAACCTCACTTTTTAAGTAGAACATCGGTTAAATACGCTTTCTCGATAAATTTCAAATGGATTAAGAAGAGAGAAAATGGCAAATAACTTTGTTTGCTACCATGCTTACAATACAGATATTTAACGCTGATCATGAAAGAGTATATTTTCAATTTGTTTAGTTATATAAACATTGCATATTATAAAACCCAGTATAATTAAGACATGCAATTCTTCAAAAAAAAATACAATTTAACATTCATTTCAACAAAACATAATTTATGAAATTTTGAGGTGTCTATACAAAAGGGGGTTAAAGGAAATTCGACAACTGACAATACACTGGTTTATTATGAAAATATCTGATCATATTGAAGAATTTTTAGGAAAATGACCCAGCTTTTGTTTACATTTATTTCCTATTTATTTAAACCGGCAAAAGTATGTGTTGTCTCAAATAATGAAAAAGAGGAAAATATTGTAAAATTTAATCCACAAATCAATGGAAATCGACTCATTCCATCTAAGGAGAACCGCGGAGTTTTTGTGAGCTCCGAAGTAAAGACTCCAAAGCCCGTCGACGTAAAACCTCTTCAACTGATTCATGGGGGTCAATCCTCTACACAAAAAAATAAAAAAATAAACTTTCACAAAATAGAATATAGATGGTTACTACAAAACAAGTGTTATCCTTATTCAGGTCTCAGATAATCTCCAAACTAGTAAATGGATCATGAATTGACGCTTATAAAGATAAATCTATCTTTTGTAATTATCAGAAAGTAGACAGCTGACAAGTTTCCCTGTTTACCTCGAAGATAGGAATATGAAGAATGCTTAAGTTGGTTGTATTTTTATCAATCCTTAAAGTAGTCTAAAGTACGAATTTTAGCGTAAGTTAGGAGCTTAAAGGGTTACGGAGAGCCTTGAAAACTTCCTTAAAACAAATCAGAGTGCCAGACCACTCGGTTCGTCGTTAAAAGGTGTGCTAAAGTATACAAAATTTGTAAAAGCCCTTTATACGGGCAATATTGATCGAATCAACATTCACGTCCAACTATTGTTGGAATCGTCAACTTTAGGTGATCTTCGTTACGGGAGTCCATTATCTCCGTTTTTGTCACACTCTTCTTTAAACTCATTCACCTACTTGGAGTACGTAGAAGACATACCCCTGTTTGGTGAAGACACTAAGACTGCAGTCTTTTAAATGGCTTTAGAAACAATTTAAGCTCGTACGAGATACATTCCTCCCCTCCTTAATTCAAAACGTTGCTCTATAACCGGTTTGCGTCAACCTGAACTAATGATAGAGAGTAAAGTAGTTGGGTGCGCCAACCAATCCACATATCTTGGTCTCATTGACTCTGGTGGTTTTGTGCATGATGAAATCAATACATGGATTCAGAAAACTTGTGTGGGTTTTGCTATTTGAGGTTACTTGCGATGTGAGGATGTCCGCTCTGTATTGCTGTGAAACATAGTCTGTGAAAATGGGAGACGTACATTACCTATAAGATGTCTCAAGCAATGATTGCATACAGTAGAACCGAGTGACTAATGCTGAGGTTAGGAGTATTTTATTGGCCCAGTCGATATATGAAGCAGTGAATCTTCACTGACAGATTTAGCTGACACGCGTTACGCCTACTCCAACATGTAGTCTTGGTTGGAAGAAAGCTAAGATCAGGTAAGGAGAGCAATCGCATGCATTCCTTTCCTACAAATGCTAGATTATGAGTTTCAATATTATGGAAAATTTTACTCCGTGAACCAATTCTTTCTTCGTGAGTCATTTGCTTTGCTTAGTCTTCTACAATCACTGATAATATTATTATTACATTCAGCTGTCCATATTTTTATTTTTATCTAATTATCCTAATTTGATGTGGGCACTTGTGTTGACGCAAACTTCTTGAAAGTGCTACATTATGACTGAGTGGACAAAGAATGTCAACGACGTTCCAAATCTATACAACTTGTCCGACTTGTAAAGTGTAAGAAAGCAGAAAGCATGAAATTCGATGAATATTAAAGCCTCCTGGCAGCTGATATAAAATAAATTCATTTTATTCTGCGAGTTTTGTTATTCTTACTTTGACTAACTTTTTGCAATGACGCTGGGGCAAAAGGCCTAAACTAAATATACGTAACAGACACCAATTTCATATACCTACTAGATCAATTTGTCCTGAAAGGATAGTCAGTAGGGCTATAATTCAAGCAATGGATTACAAGAACGTCTGTATTAAACAACTAGGATGAACAATTAACCTATGATTTAATAACAGCTAGATGACTCTATAGTTCTAAAAGAAGTCCTAGAACTATGTCAACATGAACAAGTAGAGATCCGAATTTCCATAAATATTTCAGGTTCCCAGAATTACTGTAAGAACAGGTCAAGCCTTTACAGATGTCACAAGTTCTGATTATAAATACTAGGACTTAGAGAAAACGTAAAGCATAACAACCACGTACAATTCTTTCATGTGATCCCACTCACTCATAAGAGTATTCAACAATGACTTAATGCTTAATTGTTTCTTCACAATGCCAGACACCAAAAAAGCTGGATTCAGATCACTATCGGAGATAAACTGATACAATAATAAAACCCTCGATGAACCAGTAAAGTATCAATATGAAAGTGTTTTTATTCAATTTTTAACCAAACTACATTAATGATAGGAGAGTTTTCGCACTACACAACGTGCATGTGCTACAAAAGTGTAGATGTTATCAACATTCTGAAACGGAAGATTTTGAAAATACATATCAGCCTTCAGGTAAACCCGTTATGAAACAAAATTTTGAAAAATAAGGAATAGTAATTATGATAACAGAAAATGCAACAACTATGCAGGAGGAGCATATACCTTATGTGAATTAGAGCTAGAGGTAGGAGGTAAAGCAGGACCTTCAGGAGACATATGATTTCCAAGACTTTTAGAGTGTTTACCGTTTCTTTCAGATTTATGAGGTTTCGTGTTGGCTTCATTATCACTTTCACTGCTACTGCTACTACCGGTACCACTACTACTGCTGCCACTATCACTATCACTTGAACTTGATCCCGATTCCTCACTGTGTTCGTCACCAGTAGAAGATCCTGAAGTTGTCGAACTTGGGGATGTAGATCCAGAATGGGCTGGGTTTTCCGACCACTCTACGGCGAGTTCAACATCCGGGGGAAGAGCAGGACCTTCAGGTTGAGATACCTCCAGCTCTGGAGGGAGAGCAGGACCTTCATGGGTGGGTTCTTTCTTTGGGATTTTAATTTGTGGCTTTTTAGATTCTTCTCCATTTCCTTCGCTTTCGCTTTCATTGCTACTGGAGCTTCCACTACTACTACTATTACTACTACTACCACTACTACTAGAGCTGCTGCTGCTGGTTGATGAGCTGCTTGACGAAGCAGATGTCTCACGTTTTGTACGCTTACTGGGGACTCCTGGAAGCAAACAACAAAGTTGAGGAAGTTAGATTGCAACTTTAATTTAAGAAAATTAAACAACTTTAGAATTATTAAACTATGACACCATATTGATCCGTAAGTCCTGTTACTTGAATCCTTTCAAACTTTAAAGATAGTCATTAGTAAGCATTCAATTAATATTTCACTAAAAATTACGTGGAGAATTGTACCTCCGAAGTAATTTTTCGTCACAAACTGACAACAAATGAAGAACCAATGCATCTTCAATGCAGTGAAATCCATATCTGATATATTGGTAGTGTGTTTATCTGATATATGGTTAGTTTTCGCATTCGGAACGATGGATCTACATAATATTATGGATAAAATGAGCTTTCCATCTTTCAAACAGGTGTTACATTCTGATAATGAAAATTCAGAATGGACGATTAACCTATTTGTCTCTACTCCGGGTCATAGGAAATTCAACAAACTCAGGAGGAAATCCTATTACCCTGAAGGTAAATCGTTTGCAACTAATATTATGCAATAGTGCACTTTAGCGAATACTGATAAACAGCTCATTCCCTGGATCGTACAAGACTTACTTTTGAGCTAGTACCATAATTATATAAGTCAGTCAGTTAGCTGCAACGTAGAACCAGGAGCATATATGCATCGGTTGAAGTGAGGTTAGACTAAGGGTATTAAGAAATGATAGTAAACCAGTTGATGAAGTTGTGAATCTTCATCGACTGAGATGGTTGGGCCATGTGTTGTGTATGCCTGAACACCGATTACTACGACGCGCATTTCTGAATAGTGTTAGAGATGGTTGAATGAAAGTAGGGGGCGCGGCCAAACCAAAAAAATGGCACCATTGCTTAAATTCACTAACTTCTGGTCTGAGCCATATTGGTAGATGCAGATTACTTGGTTGGGGTTCGCGTGACTATCGTAACCAATGGTTAGTGACTCTTGGTGACATGGCTCAGAATCGCTCACAATGGCATAGGTGAATACAGTCTTTGTCTTCTGTCAAACAGTGAGATTAGAATAGCTTTATACCTTTTTTCTATGAAATTCTTTCTCCCTGTATATCCATATACACAATCCTTCTTTTATATATCACTACTATTGAAGCAACTACTTCCGTGAATTTGGTGTTAATCTTGTTGTGCTAATGAGGTATGGCAACTTGAACCGATGCATATATGCGCCTGGTCCTACTTTGCAGTTGACTGACTGATATTAGTCAAAATAATCCCCCTATAGTTATCACAGGATGATTTAGACTCCTTCTTATATATTGGGAAAAACCAGTGATTGCGACCAGTCAGATGGGATTACATTTAGTTACCAGATTTTAGCTAAAATATTAGTCAACCTAATCGTTAAAACTGGACCACTATATTTGAAGACCTCTGGAGCCAACCCATCACAACTTGCAGGCACGCTGTAATATTAACGGTCATATTACTACTTGTCACGGTAAATGTGCCCTTGGAACGCTGAAATCACCTTAACTGAATTATTTACAGCAGGTTTTTATTATCAGTAAACTTCACTACAAACAACTTTATATGCAACTGAGACAAAACTTAGACAATATTGAAAAGGAATGAGCAAAATGTATTATATTCACCATAACATTGACAAAAAGAACTAGCTGACCTTCGATTATCCTGGAATCTGAAGGTCTTTTGGAAATATTTGGGGGCAATGACGGCCCTTCAGGACTCGGTAAACGGTGATACTGGCGTCTTTCAAAGGATAAATTTTCGTGTCCAGATGAGGTTTCTCTTCTTTTTATGTGACTAGGATGGTGACTATGTCGGTGATCATGATCTCTGAGATGCCAATCAGATTCTCTATCGCGCGCGCGGCTTGGTTCTGGGCTTGCGTTGCGACCGTGTGATTCAGCATCATGTCTGTATCTACTAGATGAACGATAATCATAATGAGAAGGTAGGTCAGGACCTTCATATTTTCTGTAGTTTTCAGCAAAACCATCTTTTCTTGATTGTTCTAAACAACCTGCTCTTTGATCTCTCTCGTTAACTTCGACTATGTTATGGTGTCGGGATCCAGAATTATGAGTATGCTTGCGAGGTCGATAATAGTCTGCGTTGTGAGACGGAGACCTTTTGTGAGATTTGTGTGAATGACTGTTACCATGTCTTTGTTTATCGTGTTTTTTGGAATGCTTATGGCCTTTTGAACGTTTTTCGTTTCCATAATAACTACTCTCAGGCATTTCCGGTGGACTGCGACGTCTACCGGCCATCAAGTCTTTTCTCCAGTCAGTGACAGGTGATTTCCTATTTAAAAGAAAAAAGTATTATCAGTGATGTACCAGATAAATTTCTAGGTGGGAATGCAAAACTTGCTGGACGTGTTAACAAGACTAAACAGATATAATAAATTTTGACATAATTTTAACCTAAAATGAACTTAAGAAATATACTCATTAAATTTGCATTTAGTATCACTTACGGCTTTTGCACCAGCTTGGAGCGAGATTTGGAACGCTGACGACGATGACGAGTGCGTGAATGTGATCTACGGCGTCTTGTGTCGACCGGACATCTCTCAGGAGAGTGGTGATGATGACGACGGCGACGGTGTTGTTCAGGGGAACGCGACGAACTCGTTTCATCTCGATGAGCAGTTCGACTAGTTGCTCCATCCTAAAATTCCAGTCATCAAAAGACATTAAGCTTGTTTATAGATGAAACTATTATTCATTAAAAGTTGCATCACAACGTGCCGGCAAACGTTATCAGACTTAATAATAGTGTGTTGGAACAATTGCAAGCAGCTATAAGTCGACATAACATAAAGTGATATGACGTGAAAGGTTGCAATACCACCCGAATATGAAAATAATGGTACCTACAAATCTAGTTAAGATTAAAAAAACAAATGGAAAAGCTATAATTTAAAAATAAATTACTTACGAGTTTCTCACGACTTTCTGTAGTAGTTGGTGGTTGAGGGGCTGGTGATGCTGTTCGTGAAGTAGAACGGTTGCGATTGGTAAAAGCTGGCAAAATAAATACGATGATTCTGATGAGTATACTTTAATCTTTATAGCATCAGCTAAGCATGGTAGGAAAATAATTGAAAGTCACATGTGTTTTTAGGGTGAAAAGAGCATTACCCGTGGCTGGACAGCTAAATCCGACTTAAAGCCTTCACGTGGTGGTCAGGTAGTGAGGGAAACTTTACTAGTTAGTTTGGGCGACCGATGAGATCGGACCAATCCACTACTCTTTTGTAAGCCGAATAAACTGGATTTCACTTTTTGGGACTAAATTCTAGCATGCTGCTCGATGTGTATGCTTACGTACATAAACTGCATGAGTTTCAACTTGTTTGGTTTATGTATACATGCGGAGAACGTAAGCTGAAAAAATGTCTGCCATATGTTAAATAAAATCACTGGCATAATCCTTCGAATTGAAAACATGATAAAAAATATGGCAGCAAATACTGAGAGATGACCATCAACCTTTACTGAAGGAGGGCATATATCTATTTGTGTTATGAAGTGCGAGGGCCAAAACCTCTGTACAGCTTGAAAATAAATTCGTCGAAAAGGGATCTTTTCGCTAAACTTCGTGTTTTAATGTTTGAATGGGGATTATGTCATTTGAAGATGGAGATGTTTGATTTATAAGACTGGTGAGTCTTTTTGTCATCTAGATGTCGTGTTGGCAATTTCAGGTCGAAAATACTAAGAATATAATTAGTTGTTTCTGAAATTAATGTTACAATGTAACAAGATATACTACCGGTCAGTGTGTGGTGTCAAGTTTTAAATGAACTTAAATTTCTAGCTGTTTCACTAATTTAAATTAAGATCATTAACTCCAAAGCACGACAAATAGGTTTACAAACCATCAATAAAGTCTGGTAGACCAGCTCATTTGACGAAGTCGGATAGATTCTCTGATATAAACCAATCGGCTCTGAGATAAATCCGTAAACTGATGATCAGATAAAATCGTATAAAATATTTAGATAGATATCGTAATATCTGGATTATTGAAAAAACGTAAAGAAAGGCCTAACTATTGGAAAGAAGAATTCAACTGTTATGATTACATTACGCAGTTGTTAAGATCCAAATGATTACCATATGGAGAGAAATCATGACAATTTTGATCATTTTCATTAACATTTTTCACACCTATGCTTCCTTACCAATGCTCCGAATAAATATATATTCGTATACAAAATCAACACCTTAACTAACGATGTGAAGTGAGGTAACTGAGTGCACCAACCAATTCATTGGTCAAAGATGTTGCTTGATGTGACTCAATCAGTTGCAATGTAGATGCGTTTATCCTTTATTTTACCCTACGAATTAAGTTACAGTATTTCCCTATGTATTGTCCCTTTCAGCATTATCAATGCTTAGTCATTCTCATTGTCTGCCACTACAATACCTTGGTTCTTTCGCTATTTATCTTGTAAATTTAATTACACCGTACCAACGTAACATGCCCACTTGGGCCAACGCACATTCGAGTCGAGCTTTAAATTAATCCCAACTGATGACTGACGAATTGCTGACAATAGAACCACTCAAGTCTTTTCTGAAACTTGAAAGGATAGAACCAAGTAGTGAACCTTAAAATTTACATGTTTATGTATCTGTTTCTAGAAACACTTTTGTAAGTTAGATTTAGCTCCTCAAGCAGCGTAGATGCCCCAAGGTCATAGAAATTGTAACCTGTTGTTTGCAAACTGGAAGCTTTAAATATGAGATGATGTGATTGACAGTCGATTATGTAAATCTTTAGATTATAACATTTTTTTGTCTCATCACATATGGATACTAAAAGTTTCAGATGGACAACTACCACAAAAGTGCATACTTTCCGGCTCTTCAGATTCTGCTACTCCATTGCTTTTGACAGACGAAACGCGCTTCTGATTATCTATTTGTTCGGAACTCATGTTAGACGTTCGATTAGTTCCTTTCTGAATTAGCTCATTTTCCCTCTTTCTCATTTCGAGAACAAACTTTTCGTCCTCCTGAAAAAAAAGACGAAATAGCATTTATCAATTACTTAACCGTAAGATGACCAATGAAACGATAAGATCAAATATTGACATCTATTTTTTCTGACGTTAACAAAAACCAGATAACTCAGTGTAATTTATGAGCTTTTAGGTTCAAAACCGATTGCATCGGTTTTGTAATTAATAGATAGTAGATATGTTTATAAGCAAATATGATAAGGCAGATAGCGGCTTCTGGTAATTCTCCAAAATGCCAAAGTTTTATTTACATCAAAGCTGGTGCTGTCAAAAAAGACATGCACGATCCACTAGTTAGAAATCATAACAGGAAATATCGATTGCTGTTTTTGATTTGAGAGGTGGAATGTTTCCAAAAAATACGATTATCTTACGGTAACTAAGATGACATGCTTTTAAGATATCAGTTTTATTCTTGAAGCCTGAGCAACTCATTTACCGGGCACAAATTTGTGTACATGGCTATGGGCCGCAGAGTTGAATCGGGGTTAAGACCTGCTACTTAGTTGCCAAAAGTCGAACAGCTTCACTGAGACATACCTTGAATTTGATAGAATCCAGAATAGTAAACTCCCAAATAAATCATTGTGATAGGAGTGATGGCAGGACAATACGAGGATAGTGTCAACTATGTACCGTAATTAGTTGGGAAATTAATTTTACTAAATGAACAGATAGAATTCAAACGGTTATTATCGACACACACAACCTAGATTAATATGCAATTAGAGCCTTAATACAGTCTTCAGTAATAAGGATAGTAGGCTGGTGAGCCTGTGTTAATCCTGATGGGCGCCGTTTTCACCGAGTTAGATAGTTCCACACTTTCGACCAATAATAGTAATACCTAAGTAAAATGACCGAATTTATATTTAGAGTAAATTTTGATGGTCAATGAAATAGTAGTTTAGCACATAACCAAGTATAGACTTTGTCAAGATTACCTGACGCTTTGCGATCTCTTCTTTCTTGGCCTCCAGAAAAGCTGCAGGAACGCCATCTGGTGTCTGCATGGCAGATAACAATAAATCCCATAGTTCGGACAAAAACACCCTCGCATTTTTGCTGTTTAAAAATCCCGTTATATTAATCTGGATTTCCTTTGGGTCTGGATGCTAGAAGGAACAGAAAATAACACATAAGTTGGGGAAGCGAATACCCAATTAACTGACAATGAGAATTAATTATTAAATTAATAGATTTTCAGACAAGCTCAAATGTGTACCGGCAGCGCACTCAGTGCGTCGCAGGAGACCTGAGTTCCACCATTGTTTGTCGATGTGCATCCCAAAAGACCTGAAAATTTAATCGAAACCAACTTTAAAATTGGAAAAAATGGTCATTATTATAAGTTAATTTAAAAATGGAATAATACAGTATTAACTGGTTTATATATCGTAAGTCAATAAACCCCAACTACGTTAAAATCTATTCATAGCACTTTTTTAGCTGACATGCTAAAATACTTGTGGTGGGTGACTAAAATATGTAAAATCCTAATTTCGGATGTTAGGAAAAGTGAAGTTACTACAAAACGCTAAGCGCCAGTAACAAGAATAGCCGCTTTTAAATCAGATTTTCTGCGGAGGTATAAGCATCTAAACGACTGGACAGCCACGAATTTAATTTTGGGTGTAGAATAAAAACAGCAATTGGAAACGATGGACATAAAATTCCATGGCGAAGGCGAGATATCAGTTTATCAATTAAGGGACAAGTATACTGCGCGGCAGTTCGTTCTGTTCTACTTTACGGCTGCGAAACATGGCCCTTAAGAGTAGAAGACACCCGTAAGTTACTAGTATTTGACCACAGATGCCTTAGAAATATTGCTGGCATCTGCTGGGATCACCGGGTAAGTAATAGTGAGGTTAGAAGCAGGGTATTAGGAAATGATGGTAAATCAGTTGATGAAGTTGTGAATCTTCATCGACTGAGATGGTTGGGCCATGTGTTGTGTATGCCTGAACACCGATTACTACGACGCGCATTTCTGAATAGTGTTAGAGATGGTTGAATGAAAGTTGGGGGGCGCGGCCAAACCAAAAAAATGGCACCATTGCTTAAATTCACTAACTTCTGGTCTGAGCCATATTGGTAGATGCAGATTACTTGGTTGGGGTTCGCGTGACTATCGTAACCAATGGTTAGTGACTCTTGGTGACATGGCTGAGAATCGATCAAAATGGCGTAGGTGTATACACTCTCTGTCTTTCCTTAAACAGTGAGATTAAAATCGCCTCATAACTTTCTACGAACTAATTATTTCTTTCTGTACTGTATCCTTATATGCAATCTTTCTTTGATATATTACCACTATTGACTTAACTACTCCTATGAATCCGGTGTTCATCCTGCTGTGCGGTATGGCAACTTGGACCGATGCATATATATGCCTGGTCCTACGTTGTAGATGACTGACTGATGGCATACATCGGTATAAATGTAATACTCAGCATCGTAAACCCCGAACAAGCTGTATCTACATAGGAAATTAAAATACCGAAAACTGATTGGGAAATAACACGATAACGTACAAACAATGCAAAGTTCTTGATCCTTTTTTACTTAATGCAAATTTCCCTTAGTTTCGACGTACAGCGAATCACCAATAAATCAGCTTCCACACATGCGTACTTTTATTACTTAGAAAGACGTCAGTATTGAAAGCTTACTGATCTGCTTATGCCTTAAGAACAGAATGAGGCATGACCAATAACAGCTCAGTTCAATGTTTCCAGTTTAAATAACTGATTATCTGCCCTCGTTCAGAATGCACATACAAGAAGCACTAATCGCATCAGTGCGCTGATTTGGTATGGTAAACTAGGTCGATGCACATCTGTTCCGTTCTTACGTTTATGAAGGAACCATACACACCATGACTATTAGTGCATGTTTGACCTTCAACAGGTAACGAAGCTAACTAATTTCATAAATAGACGTATCCCAGAACTACGACGTGTCTAGTAAACAGTAAAATACCTCGCCGCTTTTTTGTAGCTTGTTTGTAGGTGGCTTTTACACACGAAATTCGAAATGAGTAACACTATAATGAAAGCAAACTCTCGGTAAGTAGGTGTTTAATGAGTAAAATAGCCTACACATTCGGCTTTTGGACAAAAAAACCTGGACTGAAAGTAGTTGTCTAAGAGAAACTCAAAACTTCCACTAAGGAACTGCGCAGGTGATAGGTTGATCAAGACGAACAGTACATTGATTATTTAAGTAACTATTTTTAATGACCCAGAGTCATCTGACAAAATTATTCAGCGAACGGAGGCAAGCCATGATAATATTAAAACCCTGATCTAGTCTTAACCACAACTAAAGTTGCCTCTATGATGAATTCAGTGTTAACAACGAAAAAAGTAAGCAAACTTACGCGCTCCTCCAGTTGGTTGAAAATGTAGTCACAGACGACCTCATCCTCAAAGTTTAAAAGCTCTGTTATACGTTTAACAATCCATGGTCTTATAGACTCCAAATTAATTTTGGACATGTCAACCTGGAAATAAATGACAAATAGAGCTCATGCCTTTTGAGCCAAGTTTTCTCCGAATTTCATAGTTTTCATTAACTTTTTCTTTTTATCAGCGAACCTGGCATCTTGCTCAGCACTCGTACCCTAAACACCGATAGAAACAATTAGAAAGCTAAAAAGGAAAACCTTGAAGAAGCCAGCGTCTGTCATAATCCCGGTGTGATTAGAAAAATAGTGTTACGTCCCGCCCGGCGGATTAAACAAAACTCTTTCAATCGCCAATGTTATACGAAGAAATTGAATTATTTTCACTATATTTTCTTATCACAGTGGTGGTTCAACCGAGATTATAAATGTCTTCGAAAATATTTAGCTCAAAAAAACTCTCCACGATGGTTTATTCATAGAGCAGTTAGATACACAAAACAGAATATTTTCAGCCGTCTGGGTTTTCAGAGAACTCCAAATTTTAGAAAATAAGAGAACACAGCGTTTGTTATAATGTACGCTCTATTTAGAAAGAGTGATATTTTCCCTCGTCGAGTTAAATTTACTGTATTGATTGTAAATTACGCATCAAAACTACTGTTTACACTTTAAGTGAATTTCTTTCACTTAAGTTGATTTCTTACTTGTGTGTATTAACTTTTCTTTTGTGTATTCACTGCATCAAAGCACGCTTAGGCGAATTTGAATTGATTCATTTTGGTTTAGGTTTGAAGTTTATTCAAATCCATTTCTTTGTTTCCATTTTCGCTTGATTTTTAAGATGATCGGCTCTGCTCACAAAAGTGGAGAGCTATATTGCTTATTCCTTCCGAAGAAAGGAATACAATGTGATGACTGTAATGAGTGGTCCCATAAGATGTGTACCCTCTCAAACTTCACTGCCTATAAAAGGTGCTTAAATCCTGACTCCCATTGGCCTTGTACGTTTTGTCGTTCGGGCAAGACATTACTCATCCAATGAACAATTAGCCTTCTAGCGTTGGCTAATAAAAGGTTAGTGAGGGTTGTACTGGTAACGTGTTTACTGATAGTGAAGAATAAGTCAGTGTCATAAATGCTGTTACGGCATGTGCCTGACACCCGACTATGCAACATGCAATAGGGACTTTTATCTCGAAACAATTAATGTGTGAAACACCACTGGATACTGGTGGTCAAGTGCCTACAGAAGCGACTGATGACTCGGACAAAACTGTTGTCGTCCCGACTGGTCCTCATTTGGATGGTGCGACTGATGGAAAATGGATGGTGTGGAAACGAAGAAAGGAGTAAAAGATAGCCAAAGTAGCTCCCATTTGTCTCAAAGTTGTTGACGGACTCACATTCTGCATCGCAGATTACTCTGCCCAAGTTCAAAAGTAAGAAAATATTTAACCTTATCGTAGATGGAAAATGTTTGTCCTCATCAAACATCGTTGCGAGTCATCCGTTCGACTCCCACGACTCTGTCACAAGAAACACCAACGGTAAGCTCCTAGCAGTTAACAGGCAGGATATGACATCACTATTTAAGGCCGCGAACACGACTTTCAAAAGGGTTAAGTCCGTTCCTACCCTGATTATTTGAAATCTAGAGGAGTTGAAGGACAATAACCCTGCTAAAATGCATGCACGCGATCTGAATTTAGTGAAACCTGCCATCAGAAGTATAGTGCTTGAAGAGGTTTCAGGAGTACATATCACGAAAGTAATAGAACTCGGTTGATCTGTCGCAGATGAGACCCGACCAACCGGGAATTTTGAAGGAAGAGACGTAATACTGAACAAGGCATACAAAACTAGTAATTCAAATATTCGTATCCGATCAGATTGTCCGCTTGAGGATCGAATCAAGTGGAAGAATGCCCTTACGGGGCCAACAAGTGGAAGGCCAAATGGCAAAATGAACCTTACAGTTAGGGGTTGTCATGTTGTCAGGTATTGTTAGTCAATGTTTTCGAGCTCTGTATGGGTAGAACGAGTGATTCTTAAAACACCTTAAATGTGTGCTATGTGAACGCCCTTAGACTTCAAATAAAACGTTCGAGCTAAGTTTGATGGCGGATGAATAAGGTTCCGACACAATTGTTGTCACGTGCATGCCAGAGAATAATGCATGAATATTCCTGCATCCACCACCGTTGACCTTCTCTCTGTGTCAAATGTTTAATATCTATTTTCCCAGTTATCTCATGGTCATTTTTGAGGGTTTTGTTGTTAGGACCAATACCACTTCAGGGTTGCAGTAAGTCAAGACTTGAGAACAACTGCGTATTGCGACGCAGCAGATGCCAAAGTGTTTCATGCATCATCGTCATTTAGCTAAGCATACAAATGCATTGATCAGGTGCTTTTAATATTATATACCGCCTATGGAAGACCACACTTAGAGTGTTGAATCCAAGCAGATGGCTCATGTGTGATTAAGGACGCCAACTCACCTGAGCGTGTCCAGCCTGTGAGAACGAAATTAGTGAAGTCTTCCTGAAATCCCTTACGATGGGCGCTTAAACCGCCTTAAAATTTCCCCCTTGTCGTATCGTAGGAAGCGAGGTGACCTTATATTGACATTTCGACTGGCGTCGGAATTTTTCTCAGCACTTCATCATTTTTGAACTGTGGTTTGACTGTGTTCTGGGTCTTTCGATGTGAACTACAAGAGTGTTGTTAAACAGTTTGATCGCGATAAGCATAATGAATGGTAACTTTTTGGATCCATTTATAGACCAATAATATGCGTATATTTTTATCGTATATTTGTTAAATAACTAAATTGTTCATATTCATGTCCCGCTTATCTTTGAGCTTTATTTTGACCTACGAATTATTATTCTACGATCTACAATTCTTGAATTATGCTCTATTTATTAATTACTAGTTCCCTCATTCGCAGCCACATTTGGCTAATTCTTGTACAAATGGTCTGTTTGGTTGGTATATAAACCAAGTATGCTTGAAATAAATTATTCATATTGCAGAGAATGAGATTGATGTTCTGGACGTAACTGGCTGGGCTAGGCGGAGAGCAGGGCCAATCAGGACTCTAGGCTGCTCGTACGAGTTCTATGCGTCATCGGTCAGATCGATAATTCACTGCTCTTTGATTGGCGGTATCGTCACGTTATACATTAACAGGCCACAAGTTATAAAACAAACCCTGAATGTCCGCGTCATATTAAGTGGCAGCAAAGTTATGTCAACGTTATATCATAATCTTCTAGGTGATAATTAAATCACATATGTGTAAAACATTATTTTAATTTTTGTCTACATTTTCCTTTGTTTTCCTTCCATACACATTGCCTGTTGATTTGTGAGTAGGTCTGACAGGAAGAACTCGTATGTGATTCTCGTTTATCAAGAGATTATGAAACTGTGATCAGAAAAGATCCGAGAAGAATGTTTTCTATAATGACGACTTATTGTCAACTGTTCGGCAGAATTCATAATTACTAGTCCCATGTTTAGTTTGAGTTACATGCATACGAACATGGATACGTACCTGTTAACCGTTGACCTTCCCACAAAAATTCTGTTACTTTTATACTACTGGACTACAACCAGCATTCATTTCCGTTGTACCTGAACCCTCGGAGTTGCTTATGGAGTCAACTTTCTTTCCCTAGGTTATCCGGAATTCTAATCATCATATGTAACGATTAATTTGCTTAGTGTGCCTCTCCAAGTGACATGGAAGTGAGTCATCCAGGAAAGTATTTTTTGTAGGAACTTCGAACAGATTTTCGATTCGTTGTTTAGACCAATGCCTACATGTTTTATTGAAATATGGAACTATTTTTTATATTCCTGTATATGTGCATATTTTTCCTCAAAAAATATCCGAGACAATATTTTTGTGTGGAAATTTTATTCACGTAGCACGGTATATACATCAAGTTTCTTTCCTACCTTTTGTTTGCCTACGTATGTTCGATTTTATTTTGACGGGCACCCACAGTTTTATTTCTTTGTTGCCCAGAACGACTGGAAAAATTTAAAAAGAACTCATGACGGATACGACAAATTGAACCTTTCATTGAAAGTATTCTATCATAAAAATGTGCCACATGGCTCTTGAGATTAGACCAGACTCTACTGGACAATAAAAGCTGTCAGAATATTATTTAAGAACAGCAAGCTCATTCGGTTTCAATCCATCGTACGATAGCTGATCAACTTAAATTCTATAGACAACGTTAAATCAATCCATAGTTTAAATATAACTTGTATCACATCATACTGGACTACTGATTGCTTTGGTTAGGGGACCATTCAGGAAGATCAGACATAAACAAAAATCTTTCAGACTCTGAGTTCTTGTTAACCACTCTAATAACATTTTCAATTAAATTCCACCAGTCCTTAGCCTGATGATTCATCATGCTGAATAACTTCCGTTTCAGACGGCAAAACACTGATTGTTGGGCAGTTTATCAAACATTGTCAAGGTGAAGAATGACGACGACCAATGAGTTTCACACCATGGACTTAGGCATGAGACAGTGTTCGTAGTGTGATTTTATCCAGTCTTACTAATGGTTTTCTTCACCAATTTCAAGTTCATGCTGTACATTTCTCAGAGAAAACAGTACGTATGCATCACGAAAAACTTGTCTCAATCATCCGAATAAATCAACAGGAGAACTGTCCTTAAAATCCTCTGATAGTGTTTTTATATTTTTGCGGAATTTTTGTTTTCTTAATCTCCTCATTTGTCACGTATCTTGCCTTTTACTCGAGACCCGTGTAACCATGGCTGCATATTTATGAATAATTTTGTCCTGGCATTTATCACGAAACTTTAGCCAAGATCTGTCCTACTCATTCAATTTCGTTGTTGATTGCTGCAAACTACTGATTGACTGTAATGTTGTGTTTGACAAAAGTCGAGGTTAGTATGCAGAGCCGTTGATCAGTGCTGCTCTCTGACCGCCTGATGGAAACGATTATTAGAATCTCTTCACACCCCATTTTGTTGGGAATACCTTTAATATTTCTGATGTTCTGAGTTATTAACTATCAACCATTCTTCTTCATGTTAAGTATGTCATCTTTTGCTTGAGAAATGTCTGTATGTGCAGCAAAAGCTAGACCATCTGAGATATTTAGTGCTATTGGCATAATTTGTCTTGCTGCTTGATCGAAATCATAGCACAGTGCAGTTGAATTGACAAAAGAAATCATTACAAAATCGTTTATGGGAGACGAGTTGCATACACAATAACAAAGAACTTACTGAAAGGACTCACAATATTATTACAGTAGCTACCAGCAGTGTATGGTTA